TCACTTAGATTAGAATAATCATAAATTGTTTTAAGGCCCAATACAAAAAATTTTTTTTAAAACAATATTTTTGGCAAAAAATTAACTTAAAAAAACCCTTTTTTTCAAATGTTTCCTTTTTTTGAAAAATGCTTCTATTGTATTAAAATTTTCCTGTTTGCTCAGACCTGTACAGAGGCTCAACTAAATTTTTAAAAGCATAACGGGGTCGGATCCTTGTTTTACGCAGAAAGGGGAAATTTTTAAAAAAAAGCCGATAATTTTTCAAATGGGGTTTTTAACTGAAAAATAATTTGGAATTTTTCAAAAATCATGTTGACCTCTGCGGGGGCTGAAACAGGGAAAATATTTTAAAAAAAGCCCAAAAGGAAATTGAGAATTTAAGATTGGTCTTTTACTGTTCCAAACATTAAAGCCTTTAAACTGCATTAAATTAAATCATGAAATTACTACATTTGTAAGTTTTAAAATCATGGTTCCCCGAACGTAGTCGGATACCTTAAAGAATCCAGCGAATCTTTTAGTTTGGAACATGTACAGATCCCATCTAACGGATGACACAAAGATACTGCTGAAAAGAGGGAACACCAGGGTATGCGGTTTCTATGGTTGAACACATTAGTTCAGCTTTTAGATGCGTGTATCAATAACCCCCCCTTCAAAGCAAATTTACAAAACAACAATGAAACATGTGGATATTAGAAGGTGAAAAACCCTTTACAAAAGAAGGCCAAATGCATATTTACAAATCCAATGTTTGTATGCTCAACTCTCTGTATTTTTGAAGCTATCATTTTTAATCTCGGCGTATAACGCGTACCCGTAAATTTCGATTGTATTTCTTGCGTTAAAAGGGCATGTTATACTACGGAATATGCGGTATAATTACATGTATTTAGTTATCTATAGTTCTATATTGAGTTATTAATTAATTGGAGAACTTTGAGTTCGGTAAATAAATTTTAAGTGTATATTAGAAACACTGAAATTTAATTAAACACAGGGTTATCAGAAATGAATAATCCGTTTACAAAATTTAATAATTCCCGGAGGAATAGACAGAAAATGATAATTAAGATGTCATTGTTAAGATAAAATATGAAAATATTTTGTACGTAACGTAAAGTCAAATGTGTTTTATGTGACTTCTTTTAGAGTCACCTGTATAATATCAGTGTGAACCTGGCCACCCTGGACTTTTGCCTTTACAAAGGCATCCAGTTTCCTGGAACTTTTTATACCGTCTTCTTATACTCTTAGATATCGGTGAATTTCTATGGTACTTTCTCCGAAATTCTAGCTGAACCGTGATTACTGACAGACTTTTTGCAAACGAGAGCACACAAAAATGCCTTCCCACACTGCGACGCCATTTCCACTTTTGTTTACAATTACAACATTGCTGCACCTATTTGACAAAAACAATGTTACGAACTCAAAATTTCATATTTTATCTTTACAATTACATATTAATTCTGTTTATTCATCTGGGAATTATTAAATTTTGTAATCGAGAGTCCTTCATTTCTGATAATCTTGTATATTAGATTAGTTTTAATACATTATATTAGAATATTTTGTACAGTATAAACACAAGTTATATGTTCTTATAAACTATTTGTTTTCATTGTAATGAAAATCAATACAAATTGAAGGAGAACAACGATCTATAAAGAATAATCAATATTTTACGAAAGAAATAAGCAAATATTTCAACATACATCATTTGTATAAAATTTTCGATCCATAGCATCACTTTTTCCCAACAAATATAAATTTTCTTCTTGCGTGTTGAAATGAGTTGCTAGGATATGATTGACGAATGATAATTTTGAAATAAAATCTATGAGTATTCAAAAAGCTTTTGAAGATTTCAGAACATTCTACACACCCTATTTTTGTACTCCAATGTCATAGAGACTTAAAAAAAGTAGAAATAAAACAAAGCCGAAACGAAGGAGTGCCTTGGTAGAACAGTATGCTCCTTCCCATTGGTCCGAGGCTTTTTCGAATGTCCAGAAGAGTGTTCATTCATAAAGGAAATGAAACGATATCCACAAGAATTCCGTCCCTGACCCATTCCACTCACGATTGGAGAGAGCACAGCACGAACGCTCTCGAGAGCAGAGACAACAATAAGAAAAGGATAACACTTAATACAAGTGCGCCATCCAGTTAGACTTGAATAGGAAACGGGCAATAAAGTCTAACCTATCTGCGTGTTTAACTATTACAATCCCGCCAAACGCGAATAATTATTCCGAATGAGAACTTCTATCTCATTTTAAGACTCATTAGTTTTCAAATCCTTCAGAAAAACACCAGTAATCTTCAAGGAATGAAAATCAGTGAGGACATCTAAGGTATTTTTATGGCTCTAGTAAAAAACCAGTATTTAATTTGTAAACAAGTAATATAAAAAAAAAATGCAGTCAATTCCTTCTTAGGTCAACAAAGGAAATTTTTATTGTCGTTATACTTTTATTAAAAAGTTACAATTAAGGCGACATGGTACCCAAAAATTCTTCTAACTATCGATATTTTTTTAATTAGCTTATATGATATCTCGAATCTTTATAAACATGCCTGTAAAATTTCTTAAAGCTTTACCTGCATTTTTTATTAAGTTATGGAACACACTTTTTGATGCTGGACAGCAGACTAAACAAAACTGCCACGCCCACTTTTCAGATCATCTGCTACAAAAATGCCTGGTAAAAAATGAATTAATTATTTTTCTACCACACCGCAAATGAGACTAACATATGTACATTTACATATGCAGTAACAAATCATTTCAAGAAAGAATTGTGCAATCCATGCAAAAAATCTAATTTACCCATTGAAGATCAAATGGATTTGGTCAAAATTTAAAAGTTATGCGTTTTTTATGATGTTATTATGAATGAAATTAAAACTTCAAAACGGAATCTCCCAAAGCGCAAATACTAAATTTCATTTTGATAACTCTGATAATTAAAATTCTCTGATTCGCAAGAATTGCGAAACTCTCCCAATTTCATATATTTGTTTCGGTGATATATATATATATCCAATATATGTGAAATTCAACACAATTATTATTGAAATATTTTAAGATATTTATTCAAACAAATGCCCTTATTCAATTCTTTGATTTTAATATATTTCACCTATAAATTGTTAATTGATTTTGCTTTCATTCGTGTACAATATTTAAAATGTGAAGTCCTTTAAAATCATGGAAATAAAGAATAAAAAAATAAAGACATAAACATCTGTTGTACATGTTGCGCATTACGTAAGTTGTAAAACTGAGGATGGAATTAGCTTTGAGGTGTGTGTATTCATTTTTTATAATTACTAAAGTAAAGTTTTATGAAATATTGATCTTTCATTTGTTTCCTTCTATATATTCATTATGCCAGTATACTGTTTAATTGTTCTACATTTTTGCAATTTCTTATGGTAAAGCAGCTTAAAATAAGCTAATTAACATTTCATAAAAGTTTCAGACTATTCGAAGAATATTATATCATGCCATTCATGGAATGAAAACTTCACACTGATATTTCTCCAAGTTAAATTTTTGATCATATACTATCATTCAAAACCCTCAGGCTTTTTTGATAATTGAAGTAGGAATATGAAATGTCTTATAAATGTTCTAAAATGTATGTTTTGTAAAACTGTGTATGGAATCAACTCTAAGGTATGTAGTAATCTTTTTAAAAAATTTCAAATTCAAACTTATTACTTATTTCCAAAATTTTTGAGTGTTGCACAACGAATAAATTAATATAAAATTAATGAGCAGCAGCATAAAAAACTCATACACATGTTTATGTAGTATGTTATAAGGTACTTCGAAGAAAAATTTTGAAAGGAAATATACATATTTAAAAAGCCTCTTAGGGATTTAAAAAATAAAAATTTTACAAACGTTTTGCACACAAAATATTTTAAATTTTTTATATGGAATTATTACTTAATTATGACCTTTATAAAATACATCTAAAACCAATAAAAATTATTTTTATTTTAATTAAATTCAATTAAAGTTATTATTATTTTAAATTTGAAAAAATAAAAATAAAAAAATTGTAAAGATGGTACCCAGTCGCCTTAAGGTGTCCGACTACGTTCGGAAACGTGATTTTAAAAAAGAGCATAAATGGATAATTTTCATGATATTTAGTGTCACTTAGATTAGACTACATGTATAAAATTGTTTTAAAGGTATTATGACAAAAAATTATTTAAATTCAATATTTTAGCAAAAAATTAACTTAGAATAACTTTTTTCAAAACGTTCTCCTTTTATAAAAAATGCTTCTATAATAATAATATTTTGTGTGTGTGTGTGTGTGGGCTTAGATAAAGTAAAGACTTCTCCAGAGAGTCTCAACTAGAATTTTTGAAAAATTTACATTATTTTCAGAATGAAATAATTATCGACGTTTTTTTATTAAAATTTCTCCCCTCTGTTGTAGTAAAATATGGATAAATCCATTTCTAAGTTATATGTTTCAAAAATTCTAGTTGAGCCTCTGTACAGAGGTCTGAGCTATAGACAGGCAAAATATTATTATAATAGAAGCATTTTTCATAAAAGGAGAATGTTTTGAAAGTGGGTCATTCTATGTTCATTTTTGGTCAAAATATTTTACTTAAATAATTTTTTATCGTAATAATATTCTTAAAACAATTTTATATATGTTTTCCAATCTATAAGTGACACTAAATATCATAAATATTATTCATTTATACGCTTTTGCAAAATCACGGTTCCGAACGTAGTCGGATACCTTAATATATATATATATGTATACACATATGATAGAATCACACTATTAAAAGTGACAAAATAGAAAGCGATTTTTCTTACAATTTTCTATTTTCCTTTCTATATAGGGTGTTGGACTATTTTTTTTTGTTACTATTCATTCATTATTTAAATTTAATTATTATAATAAAACAGTATAATGTAAAAAAAGAAATCACATTCTCAGAAATTAAGCCCTTCCAGGTGGGATTCGAACCCACAATTTTGGACTAGAAGTCTAACGTGCTACCCATTGCGCTACAGGTACACAACGAACGATTTTCCTTTCTATATATGGTGTTGGACTATTATTTTTGTTCGTTTCTATTTATTCATTTTTTAATTTAATTAAGGAATGAATATTTGAAAAAATGTATCAACATCAAGTGTCATCCACTACAAGTTTTAAAAAATGTATTTGTACATGAATGGATGAATAGAAAGTATTTTACTAAGGCGATTGAAAATTTGAACAATATGTATATATAAGGAGAGAGTGAACTAATAGGAATTGTGTGTGTGAAAAAAATATATGTATATTCGTGAATTTTTATACATAGTTCAGCTGAAAATTATGAATTCCGAAAAAAAGTTGATATTGAACAAATATTTATAGACTTGTTTAATTGAGGGGGGGGGGAGCTACTGCAGTTGATCATGACCGTATCTGTGCCTAGCGAGAATAATGCTTTGGAACAGATTTATCATTGAATATAAAATCCCAGATCTTAAAATAAAAATAATAATATTTAAAAATTTACACATTTAGAGGAAAAATTAATAATATATGAGAATTTAATACCTTAATTACTCCCAACTCTTTTTACACGGTAGATACGTTCCTTAGAAAGCCGTGTAAAAAAATACATGCGACATATAGCAAATTTGGGAATTTGTTCAACGAGTTTAAAAATCGTGTAAGTTGAAAAGTTTCTGAATATTTTCCCTTAAGACCGGACAAAAAAATGTTAATATAATTCATCATTACTTTTCTTTGCACGGTCTTATGGAAAAATATTAAAAAATTAAAAAAAAATCCTTTTATTACAAAAAAAATTAAAATTAGTGTGTATTGAAAATTTAGTCTGCAAGTACATGCAACGCATAAAAAATTAAACTGAGATTCGGAATAAAACTACCAACTACTACTCATCGCTGTTTGATAACAATCGCGCACGTTTATTATTAACTGGAGTGGCCACGGTTACCTAGTGGTCAAGGTAACGAACTCATGGCAGGCTTTTCATGAGTTCGAGCCTAGTACCACTGAAAACCCGCCGTGCAGAGGCGGCCGATGCACGTTAAATATGTCGAGACTCAAACGTCCTCCCGTTGATGTAGTGTGGAGCGAGTGAGTGAGTGAATATTAACGTCGCACTGTTCAGTTACACGAGGGCTTTTGGCGACGGACCTGAGCTGGAGCCCCCCTCTCCTAACCTAACTACCACACCACACCACGGAAGGATCTTTGAGCTCTCGACAGATTTAACGTGTATCATCCCCCTACACGGCGGATCTTTAGGGATACTGGACTGGAATTCATGACATGCCTGCTATGATCCGATACCTTGATTACTGGGCTACCGCAGCCCCGACGTGGTTTGGAAGTTAGGAGAAAGGGGTGCCAGGTGTCGCCCTCGTCACTTGACCATTTGTCGAAATAACGAGGTCCATCACCAATAGCCCTTATGCAGCTTTATACTGCAAAGGAAAGAGAACTTTCATTGTCTTTCTCTGTTGCACACTGTTGGTTTTGATTCAAATATAAAGAATTGTGTTCATTATTAACATCTTCTGTTTTTGTTGTTGTTACAAAATTTGTTATTAGCAGTTTTTTTTTTTTTTTTTTTTGATTTCTCATGTTACTTCTTGTGATATGCTACTACACAAAACTTATGATTACGTTGAAATTATAATGCACATATGGTGACGTACCCTCTTTCTACTTTCTCTAATTTCTGAGAAAGTACACCGACAAACGGTGAAAGATCCGCTCCATTTCCCTAATTGCTGGGAAAAATATGCTTAAATGGGTGGTCAAGAATTCTGACCCCTGTTCCCACGGCCTCCCCCTTAGAGTCCAGGGCTAAAACGGCCTCCGTCCAGAGTTGATCGTCCGTTTCCCACGCATTCAAGATGGCAGTTAGTCTGAAGAGGATAGCCCCATTGTGAGCCGTAAAAGATCCCGCGCTCTGAGGGGCCGTGAGACAAGAGATGAAAGAGAGACGGGGAGAGACCCGGGATCTAAAAAGGAGAGCGAGAGGGCCCGCGGGAGAGAACCGAGGGAGGCCTCTAGGTAGGCATAAGGACGACGCTGGTTATCCTTGGGAACTGGAACGCGAAGCGTTCCTCCATCCCATACTGTTGTATAGTGACTCTGATGTTGAAGGGCCTTCATTGATTAGGCATAAGGAAGGCGGAGATAGAGTGAGCTTCAAACGAAGGACTGCGTGGAATTACTAGTGACGACGTTTTCTGGAAGCGAAAATAGACTAATCACCTATGAACACTGTTTACGGATGTTTTGTACTGTAGTAAACAAATTTTATATAAAGCTTTGCCGTTAAATAAATATTACTTAGTTTAGCTGTACGAAGTCTTTACAATGTTCATTGTCAGGATCAGCAGGAACTTCGTTTCTCTTTTTTTTGTCCGTGTAGCTTATTGTTTCTCGTTGTGTTGTAGCGTCGTTACTATAGTGTAATAGAGTTATGCTTTTTTGACATTTCTTTTTAGTTTAACATATTTTTTTTTATTGTTTTATTTTAACGTTATCAAAATATTTTGAACTTTGAATCTGAGTTATTTATTTATTTGCCACATAATTAAATGAAATGTCCCCAGGGCTCGAAATGAGCTTAAACCGCCACCGATTATGAATTAAAAAGCAATTAAAATCAAATATATAAATAAATTTTCCGTTTTATATAAGGCTTAGAATCTATTACTTTTACAAATATCTATTCTATGAGCTTTCATATTTAATTCGAAAAGCTTACTATATTTTAAGAGTTTAAAATAAAATCTGATAAAGTTGATCAAATTGAAAAGATTTCTTAAGGCTGTTTTCGCCATGTATACGACAATGTGGACATACCGCGGAGCACATTTTCGGACAGAAAAAATGCCTCAATTTTTATAAAAATTTGGGACTTTGTAACTCATACATTTGTTCATAATATAGTGCTTTTAAAATTTCAAAATATTTCCTAAATAATCAGTTTTTCCTTTTAACATGTAAAAGGATAGCTCATTTAGCATTAAGGTATAGGAAAAAAATTGAGAAACACGTTTTATAAGAGAAAAAATGTGTCAACTCGGATAAAATAAGGGATTCTCTACAGAATAGGGAAGCCAGAATATAATATTAATGCTTGTGAGTACTTTTATATCTGAAAAAATATTCTAAATTTGGGTCCTATTCTTTAACATTAGCCGAAGACAGCTTGAAAAGTCGAACGAAAAAGATCTAGTTTCGATTTTCTCATCTTTGTTAGAGTTTAGAAAACAAGAGAATAAAACAATAATAAAAAACCAATATATAAAAAATAGGTTATTTATAAATGAGAACAACGCATTATAGAAAAAAACTGGTTATCACCCGATACAATGGGAAAATAAGAATATGATCAAGAAACTACTTTTTCTGTAAAGATAAAATAATTTCTAAAATTCGTGATCGGAATTTTTAAGTTTGAAATCCATCGATTATTTTGAGATAATATCGATACAAAATATATTTGTAAAACGAGGATAACTATTGCTAATACCGCGAAAACGTTGACTGAATCTTTTTCGAAAAATATATGGTTTCGCGATACATTTAAATAAATTTCATTTCTTACTCTTACGGAAGTAAAAATCAATTACAATTATTTTTAATAAATGTGTCAAACGAAGTGTATGATTTTTTTTAGTTTTGCTTCTTAATAATATATATATATACGAGTATATTTGTGTGTGTGAAAATTGGTAGAAAACATAACAGCTCAAATTTCAGATTCATTATTTTAAGAAATAACTTGGAGCACTAAAAATATTTTGAAAACAAGCAAGTGTGAAAAATAGTTACGTTTTCTGTACACCAGAATAGGAAAGAGACATGGCAGTGTATAAAAGAACTTTTCTTCAATCTTCAATATTTAATACCAAAAACAATTACCGTAAAATCCTCCGTATAACGCGCACATATATGATACTTTCAAGCTGCATTTTTTTTTTAATTTTGAAGTATATTTGCCGTATAACACGCACTCTCTTTTTGACGCAGAAATCTGAAATGTTCGTATGCACTACTCTTATGTTTTAAAGTGATTTATTTGCGGTATTATCCCAGAAGGCTTTTGAAAGATAGTATACATTTATAATTGCTATTCTCTTGAGGTTCATAAGGAATGTCATTTCTTTAAAATAAACAGTATTTTGTGTTACATGTAGAAGTCTAATTTTCTCTTTATACTCATCACTTTTTTTTATATTTAAAGCTATCATTTTTATACCCAGCATATAACGCGCACATAAATTGAGATCTTACTTTTTGAGTAAAAAGTGCGCGTTATACGCCGAATGTTACGGTACATGTGTTGTGATGTTTGAAAATTACGACCTCTATACTAAAGTCTTCTGACCACTAGATCTTGCATTACTTTAAATGTGTTCACTCAATAATCCTTCACTAAACTTTTCTCTATGACAGCAGGTATATATATATATATATATATATATATATATATATATATATATGATAAACAATTCTTCGCACAACTTTCTTGCTTTTCCACTGATATTAGTCTTATCAATCTGTTATAGCCGCAATGTGTCATTATCCTGTCATTTTCACTGCATTATACTATACATCGTAAAATAATGCTCATTTTCAAACATCACGGTTCCTTTAGAAGACAAGGGTTCTCGTATCGAACAACGTTATAAAGTAGTCCCAGAGGAAGATTAGATAGGAGGAAATGCTTGTGACAACCTACTACATATTTTTTAAAGACGTTTGATTACAGAAATAATGTGTCTTTTAAAACAAGCAGAATTTTAAAAATATCTTAATAAAAGAAATTTAAAGTTTATCCCTATTAGCCATTTAAAGTTAGACAAGTTTAGCCTCCCTAAATAAAGCTTTTCAATCAGAAGGAAAGACCTTTGGAAGCAAATTACTAGCTACAAAATTTCAAACTTAATTCGCTTTCAAATGCTTATATATAAACCAGTAATATAAAAAAAGTTAAGTCAATTCCTACTTAGGTCAACAAAGA